TTCTGTGCACTCTGCCCCAGAGCAGATGTTGTTTGGTGGGGAGGCCTCTAAGCCCTGACATTCTCCATGCAGAGTTGGGAAAAGTTATATTTTAGATGGTAGCTCAGCTGGATGGAGGATTCTTGGAACTGTGCCTCAAAAAGTAACTTGTCCAAGCTCTGGATTCAACTAATACATTAGGAATTGCAGTGCAGGGCCTAAAACGGAATAGGAAAAAAACATTTGTTTTAGAATGCCCAATTCTGAGTTCAGCTGAGAGGACTTTTTCTACGAGTAGATCATGCAAAAGTGACGTCTTTGAAGTGAGTAAGATTTTAGAAGTGTTAAAAGCATTACAGGGGTAATTCCTGTTTCTAGGTTCTAACTGGGCCACTGCTTAATGAAAAGCACCTCTACTTTGAGTGGTGTTGTGGGTGGTAGGTGAGAACCCTGTTGTTTCTCTAGTGGCTGGATGTGACATAATGCAAAATTGTACCAAGAGAGCTGGTGAGAAGGAAGGCAATGTTCCATTCCAGTCTAGTGCTCTTGCAAAAACCACTAGGTTATTAGATGTCCCAGTTCGTCCCATTCCATTGCAGACCCTGATGGGATGGGCCTGAGACCTGTGTGGTTACTTAAAACAAAAAGAAAGGAGGAAGCTTACACTGGTGGAGCCTTGAAGCCATAGATAAGAATACAACTGATAAGCATCAATGATCTGGAAACATAGTGCCACAATCTCTGTATGTATCTGCAAACATTTGCCACTGGACTGACTGTGGCAGGGACTGGCAAGCCACCTGAGAGATAGCTGAAATAAAACTCACTGCAGCACAGATATTATTCTACCACAAGGTGGTGTGCAAGACCACCAGAAGGTGGAAGTGAAACAGAGGAAAGCAATAAAAACATATATTCAAAACCAGACCTCAGAGAATAATCTAGGAAGAAACATTTATTTTGTACAAGTTGGAACTTCCTGGTGTTTCATATACACTAGTGAGTACCTCTCAAAATAGGTTAAGGCTTGAGAAGAGTAAACTCGTTTATGTAATTCACATAACCCTAGATATACTTTGTTTTAAATTTCCAAGTCATGTTTCTTTTTGTTCCTCATAGCTGAAGAGTGATGCTTAAGAATAAAAGCAATATACTTACATTTTTTAAAAAAAATTGTGTATCTGTATTAGAGACGGAGTTTGAACTTTGTTCTCATGCTTCAAATTATGAAATGGGCCTCATAGTGGAGGGATACATATTTATCATGATGTGACACACTTTTTGACAGTGTGTCAAAAAGATGGACCCAAGAGGTGGGGCTGCTGGGAGAGACTGGGGTGCACAAATGTGTATCCATCACATCATTTGGAGTAATAAATGGCACAATGATACCATCTGGGTGGAGATGAGTTCTTACAGACGCCCAGCCTTAAGATTTGTCTAAGTTCTGGAAAAGCATCAGCATTCTCTGAGACTTCAGTTGGTGGTGCCTTGAGACAAAGCAAAGCAGAATTTTGCTGGCCCTCCTCAGAGTCTAACTCAGTGTTTCCATATTTCAGCAATATAAGCGCAAGCCATTGTGGATTAGGCTACAGATGATTTGCATTAACTCATTACTTCATCTATTGCCAGGAAATTAATATAATCAACACTTCGAAGGTCAACTATTAATGCTTATAATGAACTTGTCACCTTCTGTACCTTATTTCACTCAGCCTTTCTCCCACCTCCCCAACTGTGTGCAGATTTTCTTTTGGAGCGGAGCATCCTATGGAATAGGGTGACGTTCTACATCCTTGCCCCCTGCTCTTGGGAAAAGTGTTAACTGAAAATAAAGCGCATACATGATTATGTTTTTGCATGTTTAAGGCAACATCATCCCACCTGATGCTAATGCCGTGTTTTGAACTTCAGCTCCCTTTATGCCCCACGATTGTTAGATGAGGCTAGAGTTACCTGGTGAAGAAACAGATGGGTGCTGGGACAACACTATACACTATACATAGAAGTAGCACATCTATTGTGTTCCACTGGGCCTTCTAGGTTTGAAGTAGCATTGCAGCACCCATTTTCTGTGCTAGGGCCCTGTTCTATAATACAGAAATCATAAAAAAAATATTTGGACTACAGTACAAGGCATTTCATAGACTGTTCTAGTGACTCTTTTTTCCACTAGGTGAATCATGAGAACAGTCTATGGAATTGAGTTTTAGAACAGACAGAATCTTCCTTGTAATGTTCTGAGTCCCCAGTTTTATTTTATTTAACAAAATGAACCAATGTATTTTTCCTGACATAAGAAAGAGAACTAGTTTTTGGTATACAGCTATTTGTTTCTCATGAAAGACGCTGGTGGGTCATGACCATCTCTGTTTCTCATCTTTGGTGACAAAACAGGCTGCTCGCCTGTCCTACTTGTTCTTCCAGATGGTCATCTAGGGATTTCACATGAAAGGGTCTGTATCTGTGCAGAGCCACCAATTGCAACCTTCTAGGGAGACAGAGACTTGGCAGGTTATCAACAGCACACATGTTGGTGTGCTTCTTGATCCAGAATTGGACAGCAGTTGTGCAGTTTAATTTCCCAACAGGTGCTGAAGAGGGGAGGAAGGCTGGGTTGTGTGAATGCATTTACAACCACTTGAAAAGCAAAAGTTATAGATGACCAACTTGTTTTTCTTCTTCATGGTCCTTACACAGTCACTCTTGTGGGAGAAAAACGGAACACACACACTCACTGGAGCACTGCAGAAAGAACTGCTCTTCCAAAGGAAGTGTTCCTCCAAGAGTAAGTATCCAGATGGTACTCCTAGATAAAAGTAGATGGCCGACCCCAAATCAATGTTCAACACAAGTCTCTCTCCCCCCCCCCAAAAAAAAGCACAGTGAAGGTGGTTTTGAGCAGAAACGGCTTGTCTTTCTTAGGTCCAGAATGACTTGATCATCCATAGGGTTACTTTCAGCTCGTCAGTTCTATGATGATGATGATCTAAAATTGATGAGAAGTAAAATTGAAGGGATTTTTCTGAAAGGAGTTCTTCTCCAGACATTAACGGTCAATGTTCTTCTCTCATCTAAGATGTGGAGAAGTTTATTTACTTACCGTATTTTTCCATGTAGACGACTATACTTTTGTCTAAAATCTTTAGACTAAAAATTGAGTGTTGTTTTATAGAAGGAAGTAAGCTGAGGAAAGAACAAAAATAAGTGTAGGGGAAAGCAGGGATCAAAGTGATCCTGCAAGGCTTTGATCCCTGCCTCCCCCTTCACTTGCTAAGCCACACTTAGATTTCTTAATTCTGGATGAGAAAAGTGGGGGACATCTTATACATGGGGACATCTTATACACGGAAAAATACGGTACATCAAGGGATTTTTTTTAAATTGCAGAGAATATAGTATCTTAGGCAAAATAAAAATCAGACACAATCTTGGTAAGGAATATTATGTCCAGAGTACCAACTTGTGTGGCTACCACTCATGGAGCTGCCACTCATGTTCTGTATCTCTCTAGTACGTCCACAAGGTAATTCTGGCAATAATATGGTGGAACTCTTTTCTCAGGAACTATAGCTCAATCCTCAGGGACTATGATTCAGAGAGCAATCTAGCACTGATGAGAACAATATTTTCCAATGCTTACATGTCTAAAGTCTTATAGAAGAGACAGGATGATACATTATTTAGGGTATGTGTGAATTTACCCATCATTAAACATCACTATCTCAGGGTTTTTTCCTTCTCTCATTCTGGATGGCATGATTAGAATTACAGTGTATGTAAGTATAGCTACGAATATTCAGAATTCTTATTGTATGTTGACTCATGCAGCAAATTTGTTTTCCAAATGATCAATGATACAAATGTTATAACAGAGAGCTACTATACCTAAGTCCAGATCTAACATACAGCTTACATTTGGTTCCTGGGCAATTCAGTAATGCATGAAAACCGAATTTCAAATCCTTCCTGCGCTATAAATTCAAAAATGGTCACTTTCAATTCTTTTGCTCATTCTGCACTGTGAGGTAATAGTAACTTACTGTGTAAGATTTTTGTTTCAGGATTAGAAAAGCTAAGTAAAATGTAGTACAAGGTGAACAGAAATAAGGCTACCTTGTCCTGCACATTTTAGACTAGATGGCTTTCGAGATCACTCTTCCAGCACTTTTCATGTGGATAGTATATTAGCTATGCATCTTGCACTTGTAACATGGAATGATACCTTCAGCTGCCTGTCTTTAAACAGTGTTAATTTCAAAGGTTTTCAATTAATTGAATTCTTCCAAGAATTTCAGCCTTAAAATTATCCTGTGGAATAGGTTAATGCAAAGTGGCCATTCAGTAAGCTTCATAGCTGAGCACAGATTTAATGGTAAGTTTGAATATGCGGTCTTGTTTTATAATGACAAATACAAGATCAAAATATTAGTGAAGAGCTACTGCCTCATGCAGGCACAAGGTGTTTCTGCCTGTCTGAGCAGATAATCTTGAGCTAGCATACTCTTGACTCAACAGCTGAAATCCTGTTGCTCACAGTAAACCAAACCATAACTTTCAGTCACTCAGTGAAGAAAAGTCTCCACAGCTCAACTGTAGGTGCAAGCTAAAATTTGACTGAAGCAAAGCACAGGATTTTGGCCATTAGACAACTTCATATGTAGTCACACAACATATGAAAGAGAGCCATGTGTTGATGAACTTGGACACACTATTGACTCAACCAACATACTGTCATTTGAATTGGCTCCATTTGAAATGGTTCCAGTTATTGGATTTCTTGCTCCTTTACAGACCTAGCACTGCTTTTAACTCAAGACATGTGGAATGTGTGGTCCTGTAGCTGTTACCTGTCAAGTATACCCAGGATAAGCAACTCTCAGGGATGATGGGAGACTGTGGAATCATCTGAAGGCTACCATGTTCTCCATCCCTGTTTTAAATTAGCATACCACTATCTATACAGTGGGTACATCTCCACCCTCTGGTTCTTTTAGAAATACTGAAGGCAGAACATAGCATTTAATATCTCAGGTTTTTATTTCATTTTATGTACAGTATAAGAATCACAGGCAAACCTGTGACTACCAGACAAGACAAATTTCAATCCCTCTGAACAATTAGCAGCTTAAAGATCTATAAACTACAGTGTTACCTTCACAAGTGTCATTTCTGTACTCTTCATCCCGTGCAAGTGAGTTTTTATTTCATACTTTTAAAAACCACACTTACAGCTATGTCAGTTGCCTACTAATGCACAATACCAGCTGGCACACACAACACAAACACACACACACACATACAGAACTCTTTATCCACATTCATAATTCTCTTAGAACTGGCAAGAGAGCTGACAAAGAAAAAACAGCCCCATTTCCTCCACCTGGTTCCTTGATTTCTATTTTTGTTTGCAGTTTTTGTTTCTGAACATCCTACCCCACCAAAATAGCTCAAATATTGTGCATTTTTGGCCAGTGCATTAAACAACCAAATTCCCCAATGAAATCAGATTTTAGGCGTCCACAGAGTTAGTGGATTACATTATTTATGTAATTATCTGTGAACCTATGTAGTATTATTGGCTGAAATCTTCTTCATAGATGTTCTGTGGTCTAAGGCTGATGACAACATCAATCTGGACAACTTTCTGAAAATTATGCATTTCCACCTCCTGTCCCAGACCCCTTTGTGCCCTAAGTATCCTTTGTGTTATTAGGAACCAGTGGGGGCCAAGGGACAGGAGGGATTTTTTAAAACAAAAAATCATCACTGCCAGAATGACTTTACTAGTGGTGGCAATTTTCAGTAATTAAAGATTTCCCCACAAGTTTCTCAGTCCCCACAACTTTCTAATGATGAAAAGGATTTACTCAGGACTTTCTGAGGCTTTGTGACAGAAGGCGAAAAGGTTTACTTTTCAAAAAGTTGCCTTGTCTGATGATGTAATCAGCTTTACCCCACAGAACTTACACAAACAGGATTTTAGTCATAGAGTCCCCACTGAGAACACATTGGTGAAGGGGGGGGAATCAAAATATGGCAACTTTAGACTTCAGTTCTTTCCTAAACAGTCAGGTAGCACAGAAGGACATTTCTTATGAACCATGGAAAATGTATTGAATTGCCACTTCTCTTTCCATCAAGGCAATCTGTTATATTTGCTCCTCTTTGTGATCTCTTGATATGTGATTAATATATTACACTTCACACTATCCAAACAGGACATTTGTAATGTGTAGTCCCACAATTCAAGAGGGCTGCACCAACAGTACTCCTACTGCTGCTGCTGCTACTACTACCAATATATAATAAGAATGTTCCACACAGACAAACAAACACACATTGGCAGACACTGCCATTAACAACTCATTCAGGAATGCTTCATCTTCAAGAAAAAGAAAACAGCACTTGCAAAGGGAATGGGAGTTTTAAAGCTGAAGTCACATTTTAAAACAATTAACATTTGTTAAACAGTTTGATGCAGTCACAGCCCTTCAGACCAAGAGGAGGAAGAATGTACGATTAATAGCAAAAAAAAAAAGGCAAAATGACAGCACAAGAGTTATGTTGGGCTAGTCAAGAGACTGAATGTAACTTCACAAAACATGGGCAATGAAATGTTAGAATTGGGAGAGTACTGAGAAACACTTAAAATCCCAGGCCAAAAGACCTTCATCACGAAATCATTTTGGAGAACAGAGATTCTAACAACCATTGTCCTTCTGGCAAACATGGCAGTTTGCGAAGTTCAGACTGCAAAACTTGTAACTGAATCTTTCCAGGAAGAAATATAAAGGTGTATTTTTAGTGAGTAATGAGCAAAACCACACTCCCTTCTTTATGTTTTGTTTCAAACTGGTTTCGTTTTGTGGGCAAGTTTATCTATAAGGAAAATCTGAAAGGGGTATGAAGACTAAGGCTTGTGGAACCATCTGATCCCAAGCCTTCTGGCTGCAGTCCAAAGCGTGCATCACTTACAGTACCCTGCAGCCCTTCCTCCTACCCCTGTAACTCCCCATTTCACCTTCTGAATTAGTGGTGGGCCCTCAGAAGGACCAGAAGCATTAATCATTATATCATGTATGAAATTGGAGAGAGGCATAGAGACTGTGGGATGCTTCCAATGCTGTAGTGTATTGAGTAGGGTTGGAATAAACTCAACAGAGCATTGCCATGGCAGACCATGGTAAGCATTAATGGCCCAATTCTACACCTGCAATACTAAGAACATACGAAGATTAATTTTTTTGCTATGAACGTTTTAAGAATAATTTATTTCCTCTGAGAAAAAACCAAATATTTGCTTAGTGACAAGCTGTGATGTTAATGGCATGAGGAATCTTGAGTACTCAATCCACTATAATTTTGGAAAAAGCCAGGATATGTAGATCTCTCAAATTAATGATTGGGATAGAGGAAAGTTTTCTGTTGCTGACTGGTTGGAAACATCCAAAAAGGCAAGTCTAATTTACAAAATGCTAAAGAGACAGTAACACAGTTTGAGAGAGTAAAATCCCACCAGCAAGATTTCCCGCATTCTCTGTCACACATCACTGTAGGTCACTTGGGCACTGTCAGATTCTCGAACAAAACATCAGCTAAAGGTGACTTAAAATACATGACTAAATGCCAGCAACACAGATGAACGTTTTTTCTTTTTACACTTTCACAGTGAGAACAAAGAATTATAAATGAAACTGAATTCCGTAGATATAAACCCTGTAGGCCAATATTAAGAAAAGGCTCCAGAAACACATGACACCATGGCTGAGGAGTCATACAAACATAACTGACATTCTTACAATTCAATGGCCAGTTCACATTTTTCCAAAAACCAGGGAAAGTAGAGGCTCATGTGGCATGTTGCCTCTTAACACTGTTTCTTTTACAAACAAATGTATGTCTTGCCCAGGGCATGATCTGTGATGATCATCTATATAGGTACATTGTGCTAGTCCCTGCTTTGCATGATAATTAAGTAGGAGTTACTGAGGTGAGAAGAGAAGTGGCATAAGCCACTGGCAGTTCTGTTCCCCCCATTATTGGCAACATACAATCAGCCGTGAGGAAAGCTGCAACTTTTTAAATTTATGGAGAGAGAAGGAGGTGCTTGCTAGGACATACTGGGAAGATGCAGAAAGGGCTTCTAAACACAAAACCCACCAACAGTAAGCACTGTTAGCTTGCTAATAGCACAACTTTGGTTTCAGTTATCAAGGGTTTATTTGAATACTAAATTAACTCTGGGAATATCTAAGGCAGAGATGGAGAATGTAGGGATCACCAGAAATGGCTGGATCAGAACTCCCATAATTCCTTCTGCTGGCTATGTTGGCAAGCGCTGATGGGAGTTACAGTCCAACAAGATCTGAACTACAAGCATTCCCCACTCCTAGTTTAGGGGATCAGGGTTTTGACTTGATGATTCCTCAAGTATCTACTTTTTCTTTAAAGACTCAGGGTAACTTTTTCAATATACCTGAAGCTGACTAAACAGAAACTGTTCCAGTTACAACCCTAACTTTGGCATACAGGAGCCTAAACTGAAAGTATAAATCCTATGAATGATTAATGAGATTATTCCCAAGTACAAATTTCTTCTTTCAGAACAGAACATCAGCTCACTTCCATAGCTGGTTTCCAAAGTTACCTTTCATTTTTGCTTAATAACAGCCAAACACTCCCTTACGCTGATATAAATATCAGCAACAAATCCAGGGATGAAATTTTAATTTTCCTCCCTCCAGCCCATAAAAGAAAATGAAATGAAACTATAAAAAGACTAATAAAAAGGGGGCAGGGAATCTCTTTTCATGATGCTGCATTGGCAAGTTAAGAAGGACACAGATCATATCTGTATGGGTGTGCAGTCAAGATATATTAGAACTGTTTTCTGCTCTTCTCAGAACTTGTTCAGGACAAGACAGTTCACATTTATTCACACATTTCTTCATTTAAGAACATCACTTCTTTATTTCAAAGGAGAAAATAAAATGAAAAAATGACCCTCCCAACCACTAAGCTGAAAAACAAACCCCAATAAGAATAATAAAAAATCCTATTAGAAACAATAAGGAAGCACTGAGAGTTTGAGTATTACACTCTTCAAGTATGCCATTTGGATTTTTAAATCTGTGACTATACATATATTAAAAAACAGTAAAAGTGTGACCAAGGGCTTTTGCTTAAAGTATTTAAAGGACTATTTCAAAATACTGTAGTACAACTGTGCAGTAACTGTATCCAGTGTAATCTGTCCACTTCATATTCCCAGCTGAAAAGCTGAACAAGCCTTGCAGAAAGAATGTGGATACTAGGCTGGGACAACAGATAAACCCAGCAATGGATCCAGGGAATTCCATGCTTTGCATTGGTCTTCTTTAGAGAAAGCCACCCTGAAGCTATACATTCGGACATGGAATGTGGTTGGGTTTCACAGTAGTATTATGGGGTCATCATGGTACCGCTGTGCATTATGATTAATCGCTGTTATGCTTTATGTAACTGTTTTCTCCTTACAACAGCTTTAGTACAGTAGTTCGAGCCATAACTTAAATTGCTCATGGGTGTGCTCCGTATTGGTGTTTTATTTTTGTATGCTTAAGGAATATTAAGATTTGCATTCAAAGAGAACCATGCTACATAAAAATTGTCCAGGATTTTTGCCAAAAAAGAGCTCTTGAATAAAATCTAAAAAACACTATTGCCAATGTGTCTCATAGAGAGAAAACGTTATGTTAACTGTAAACAAATTCACGCTCTGACACTTAAAAACTTCAGCAGAAGAAGGAGTTGCTGACTATGCTTTGCCACGCTCACTTGCCAGAGCAGTGGATGGGGCAACAGCCAGTTCTTCTTGACATCATCTAGGGGGTGAGAAGAACCGGTCCAAATAGCCAGTAAGGGCATCCCAGTGCTTCCACAAAAAGGCAATGAAGACCACTACAAATAAAGTGCTGAACGTCCTGCTGCGTGTTTTCATGAGTGGGACAACACAATTGGCCACTGTGGAGACAAAGACCAGCAGAACAGCCATGACTGCCAAGAGGATGTTGATTAATTTGCCCAGAAGGTTTCGGGCAGTGGCATTTTCAAGGCCTTCTAACTGGACAACTTGTTGCTGTTGCTGCTGCAGTTCCATCTTGGAGATTCTGGTTTGACAGGCCTCTAGTGCCTCCTGTTGAGCAGAAGAAAAGAGTGCTATAATTAAATGGCACCTTATTAATCTACATTCATAATAATTATTTATATCCAATTTTAGCAATTTAAAAACATTTTCAAAATCATCCACAAGATACAAGTACCTTAGTATAAAACCACTATAAATAGTACAACTTAATTTAGCATAGTAAGTCACAGTTAGAGCAAATCCATTTGAATTGATGGAACTTATGGAGGAGTTGATTCATCAAATCCCTATGGATTAAATGGGCCTACTCTAGTGGAATTTACAATGTTAAGCAACATGATTTTGGCCAATGAGTGTATAATCTTGTCCAGTGTCTCTTACCTCCTTAATTGTGTCTTTCTTTAAAGAAGTAGGTGGTACACCAAAGTCTTCCAATAAAACAGGTTTATTATCTAACAAGTTGTCCACTTCATTTATGTTCACACTTTCCATTTCTGGTTTCAACAAGTCGTAAGTTTTAACTTTAGTAAAACATGGTAAATCCTCTTAGAACGATAAAGGAGAAGAACTTGCAACTCCGGGGTTCCACTTCGGTATGGTGCCTGGTCTATCAGGTGTACTGTCCATTAGCATCATGGCTGAGGGTGGCAAACCCAGCCTACCTGTGGCTCCCAGACCTTCTTGCCCTTGTTCTGCCTCAGTTGTGCTCGGAAAGGGCTGGTCCCACGGGATTTCCCAGGGTTCTCGGTACATCTCCTCTGTTCCCTTCTTTGTTCTTCTCTTTGTTGCCAAGCTTTATATTCCCTCCATTGTTTCCTTTCTTCTGTCTCCCACCAAAAGGGTGGTTTTCTATATACTTGTCTCTTCCACTCTCTCTCTGCATAATCTCAAGGTACTCTAAACTCTATCAATTCCCCTGTCCAGGGATCTTCTTGAACTATCTCCACTAACTCTTCCTCAGGTTTTATTGTCTCCTCCTGTGCCTGATAAGCTTCCTCCTCCTTCTCCTCTGAACCTCCCAATTCCTTCCTCCCACTTTCCTTTTTATCCTCCTCTTTTCCCATCTAATTGGCACCCTCTGGTGTTTCTGTCTTTATCTTCAATTGCTTTAACTTTTTTTCAATAGCTTCCATCTCCTCCTATCTTTCTGATGGGAGAGATGGACGGTATACTCTGCAGAGTATCCGTGAGGCCATTCTCGGCCTCACAGAGTGAATGAACCAATTGTTCACGATTATCCATCCCACAGGGCAGCTGGTTTCAGAATACAGGGAAAGGGAAGAGACATTCAGTCAGAGCAGGAGCTGTGGCATTCACTAGCTCTCTTCCTCCTTACCATCTGCAATCCTACTCAAAGGTGGCAGTTGGTGGCACTGTCTTAAGGAGAGGGTAAGAGAGAGCTATCTTTATCGAAGTATTCTGGGAAAAGGAGGGAGATGGAATCCTTTTTTTGGATAGTTATTCAAAAGGCAAATATCACTACTGTGTCTCAGGACATGTGTGCCCAATGACATCATGTGAGTCTGTTGACAGAAAGATCAGGGGACAAGAACATGAAAGCAGCTGCCAGGATCGTGATGAACAAGAAGCTGGCATATCCTTTTTAAAAAAGGTTAGGAAGCCCCTGATGAGCAAAGTTGAATGACAGAGTATGTGTGGGTTGCAGAAAGCCCAGCACCCAGACCTGAGAAGAAGATGGAGAATTGCAAGGAACAATGGGACAGTGTGCTTAAAAGAAATCTGCAAAGGGCTGTAAGAAATCTGCAAAGGACTGCAAGAAAGGAAGTTTTCTTATTAAGCAGAGAACTATATGTTGTGGGCAAAGGTTCGACCTTTTGCACTTGTTTGTCCGGAAAAGGAAGGAGAAGGATTAAGAGGAGGAGTCCAAATATACCATAAGGGGAACTAAATTGGAAAAGGCTGGCTGAAGAAAGGTGGAGGCAGGCAAATCTGGTGGACTGACCATTTGTAAGGAATATTTTTGGCTGATGACAGCAGAACACATCTATCCAGGAGGTCAGGGTCTGCCCTCTGCGTGCTTATGCCAGCCCAGGTTCAGCCCATAGACACAGTCCACAAGGAAAATGCTTACAAGTCGGATGACCCAGGAAGAAATGGTACACTTTGATCAGTGCTGTAATGTTGCTCCCATTGCTCTTACTGAGAGACTGATAATCTATCAGGGAACAGTCTTGGTATCTATGTCTGTGTGAATAAGAAGTGTCATCTTAATATCTTTTGTCTTATGTCTTAACCAATAAATGTTACATGAATAGTGCATAAGCTAAAATTTTTGGTATATGGTCTTCTTGTCTGTAGTCTGGCTGGGTTCTCTCTCCTCTCATGGTCCCTCTCCCCAGGATATAAAGAAGAGTAACCCTCTGGGGTAACATAACAACATATCTGGCATTCCTGGAGCCTTAGTCACACATTTCAGTCTTTGAGCAGCATCTGTTAGGCTTTCTATCCTGTAGCAAAAATGACAGTTGCTCCATGTTGCCTAGTTTACACAGGTATTTGGCAATGTCAGGAGGAGCCTTAATTGTCTTGTTGTTTATTACTTTTTAGAACAGGATAGTCTCAAAACTTTAGAGCATGATGGAGTGATTATTTAGCCTCAGCAATAACAGCCGGTGGCAAGCCCTGAGCCTTCTCCCCATTTTATGTTTCCATGTAATCTCCAAAAAGCAAGGAACTGAGAAGCTGAAGCCTTTCACAGAAGACACACTTTGTTGTTCAGTTGTTAAGTCATGTCTGACTCTTTATGACCCCATGGACCATGCCAGGCCCTCCTGTCTTCCACTGCCTCCTGGAGTTGGGTCAAAGTCATGTTGGTAGCTTCGACGACACTGTCCATCCATCTCGTCCTCTGTCGTCCCCTTCTCCCCTTGCCTTCACAGAAGACACACTAATCCTACCCAATTTTCAGCTGCTTGAACAAATTTCACTGCATGACTTCCTACATCTCACACACAAACACTGGTGGTATTTTATGTACTTAAGTCACAGGTATATATTCCTGTTGTGTAATTTGTGGTACAATATATGTAATTAAGATCGCTTTAGGTTGAATCTAAACCAGCATTGGAACTGACTGATCTTGTATACTAGTAGCAGTACTAAGGCAGAAAGGAGAAGTTAGGAACAGATTTACCCCCACACCATTGCAAGAATTCCAAGCCATGAACAGATAGGCATGGCATATCATTGTCGTTACTCACTTCCCAATAATTATGAGGTCATCATCACAGGCAGTCAAGGCAAAAGTGCCTTCAAAAGCAGTTCTGCAGTTATGTGTTGGACCTGATGTTCACCACAGACAATTCATACATAATACAGGTTTTCCGGTGTGAAAAAGCCAAGCAACTCAGAACAGAGCTATTAAACTCTTCCTCTGCTGCTTGTGCACCCACAACTATTCTCTCCACTATGTTTTTTCCTGATCTAATTTATTCCTGTGAAGCCTGGCTTGGAGAAAAGCAACTAGAATAAGGCATCAAAGGTCTCTCCTTAACATAAACCTACATGTCTCAGTTTCTGACCTTGACTGAATGTCTTTCTTTTCAAACAAGTACTTCCTGTGGAATAAAATGCAAAAGGCATTTGTTTGTATTACTTTCTGATGTAGAATGGTTTAAAATTCTGGAGAGAAAATAAAATAAAATAAATTCTATCTATAATCATAAACTAAATATTCCTAGTAATAAATAATAAATCAAATATGCTTTAAATGCCCCTTCCCAGTTCAAATTTCTGCTGCCACTGCATCAAATTAATCCCTCTGAACTCTCTGTTTCCAATCACTAATAGCTCCAATATGGGATTCTCTGGGCGTCAGTACTCATGTGCAAATACACACTATTTTTTTAAAGAGGTAGGGCTTGGGTATTTGCTTCTTGCTGTGCTCCCCCAACAACTACAACTTTCTAAATTCCATGTTCCAGATTTCTGAACTTTATTTTACACACTCATTAAACAAAACAAAACAAAAAACCAAAAAAAAAAAAAACTTTCCCTCTCAAATACTTCCTTATTTGGGAAAGAAACAGTGGACATGTTGCTTCCTCATAGGGCAGAGTGGACGTACAAAGCCAATTGCTGTTTTCATTTCTGTTTTTCTATTGTTTTAAAATTAGTGACAGACACATCCTTCCACCAGCTTAGTGGGAACAGTACCATAAAAATTTCTTTTGTCCTTCACAGTGTAGCCTTTCAGTCCCAATGTGACAAGTTTAATGACTGCCTCCTCTAAAGTGAGAGGCAACCTCCCATTTGAACTTCAGATTGCAAAATAAAAAGACCTTTTTGGTCAGCTGGCAAATTCACCTTTATTAGGAATCTGTGAACAATTGGGTAAAACTGGCATACACTCAAATAGCTCCTTCTGCAGTTAAAGCAATAAAGATAAAAGGAATTCATGGTTTAGAGCAGTGGTTCTTAACCTTTGTTACTCGGATGCTTTTGAACTGCAACTCCCAGAAACCCCAGTCAGGACAGCTGGTGGTGAAGGCTTCTGGGAGTTGCAGTCCAAAACTCCTGAGTAACCCAAGGTTAAGAACCAGTGGTTTAGAGCACAATAATACATTCAACCAATAATGGAAATGAAAACAATGTTTTAGAAAAATCTAGTGTTTCAATGATGTGGAAAATTATACCACTTTCACCAACCTGGATGTCTCTGGCTCGCTCATAGGACTGATAAGCGATTTTTTCTTCCATGCTGGCCAATTCCTGCTTTAAATTGAGGATCTCATTCTGGTGGAGCTCAGTCAGGTCATTCAGTTGTTCTTCTAGCCGCTCACATCTAGAACAGAGAAATGTGGCTGTTTTTAGATGTATCTAGTTTGCTATACTGTCTAGTTTGCTATATGACAAACCTAGACAGCACCTTAAAAAGCAGAGACATCACCTTGCCAACAAAGGTCCGCATAGTCAAAGCTATGGTTTTTCCAGTAGAATGTACGGAAGTGAGAGGTGGACCATAAAGAAGGCTGACCGCTGAAGAATTGATGCTTTTGTATTGTGGCGCTGGAGAAAGCTCTTGAGAGTCCCTTGGGCTGCAAGGAGATCAAACCTATCCATTTTGAAGGAAATCAACCCTAAGTGCTCACTGGAAGGACAGGTCCTGAAGCTGGGGCTTCAATACTCTGGTCATCTCATGAGAAGATAATACTCCCTGGAAAAGACCCTGATGCTGGGAAAGTGTGAAGGTAAGAGGAGAAGGGGACGACAGAGAATGAGATGGCTGGATGTGTCATCAAAGCTATCAACATGAATTTGAACCAACTCTGGGAGGCAGTGGAAGACAGGAGGGCCTGGTGTGCTCTGGTCATGAAGACTCAGACATGACTTAATGACTAAACAACAACAAAGTTTGCTATACACTTTGGAGTAAACATAACTGAGTAGAGGGACTTATTTCTGAATCAGTAAGTACAGGTTTGGGTGGCAAGAATGTGATGTTGTCATGCTAAAGCACATCATGTGTGAGGTGTTAAAGACAGATGTCATTAATAAGCTGTCACAAGTAACTTGACTAACCTGACTGACCCTATTTACATTCTTTAGAGGAAAGCCATGTGAATAACTGGCTCCAAGGTTTAGTTTTTTTAAAAAAAGGAAGTGCCAATTTACATATTCTTAGATGCAGTGGGAACAGAACTGTAAAAGCACTCTATAAACAAGTTGTGTATTATGTGTACATCTTACTGATGGTTACTCTCAGGATATTACAAGGTAATGAGCACCTTAGAATTTATACAGAAAACCCCCATAGGAAGAAGGAATGGCCATAGGCTTCCTTAAAAGGAAAAAAATGAAACATGTATGGTCACATTCACATTCCCTTTAGTTAGAAAGAATCAGGATTTGATCAAGCCTACTCCATTAATACAGAGGAAACATAATTTTTTGTTTTTGAAATAATTGTTTCTGTATTGCCTTCATCTGTTGTCAGCTGTTTTTATATAGTTATTATGTGTTTGAGTATTTTATTTAATATTTTAATTGCTTATTATTGAATTTTAGTCAATGTTTCTCTGCTATACTGTAAGTCGTATAGAGACCTTGCCAATTAAAAAACCTATTATTTTTTTTAAAAAATTGATATGTTGAAAATTCTCCCTCTGGAAGCAGGGCCCAGGAATGAAATGGCATTATGCCTTCAGCTTTAGGAAGGTATACCAAACTAGACTGAATGTTCTCGTATCATTTAATTTGTGCTCAGCTCTTGGATCACTTTTCTATACCAAGTTTCAACCTTGGAATATATCAATAAAAGATAACATTAAAGAGCCTTTAATGAGGCACAAAGTGCACTTCTGTAATAGTGTACAGGGAGTCCCAACTCATGATTAAGGTGAGGAATTTGCAGTCTGGCTGGTGACCTTTCCAGACACGCATGAATCCCAGTACCTTTGTTTGGGAAAATGTGGGTGTTTCTAGAGGAAGGGCCTCAGCACTGGCAACTACTGTACTGCTTTTCTGGTGTAAGATAACAGCAAACTCCCTACTGACAGCCCACACATCTGCCAGTATAATACATTCTCGTTCTAGGCCCACAGCAGGTGTGGCACAGATGGGGACGGGGAGAGTGTAATCGCCATCACATAATTTTAGAGACCTTCTTTTCCAACTCAGTAAATTTTCAATTTGTCATTTAAGAGAACCGTACTGGATAGCTCAATAAGTTGGGAACCCAGTTATGGAGCCAAAGTTGGGAATTCAATTCACTGTCTCCCTGGGAAAGATCCAGCCTATGTCTGGTTTGTATGGTCCCACAGTGCTACCTGAAGATATAACCCATTACAGTGGTGCCCCGCTAGACGCTTACCCCGTTAAATAGCAAAATAGCAAAACGATGTTTCCTATGGGTTTCTTTCGTTTAACGATGATTAGATCCCTGCTTCGCGAACCGTTTGTTCACAAGACGACGATTTAAAACAGCTGATCGGCGGTTCGCAAAATGGCTCCCCGCTGTTTTCCGGAACTATTTCTGCAAGACAGGGATTGCAAAATGGCCACCCTATGGAGGATCTTCGCTGCATGAGCAGGTATTTCCCCCACTGGAATGCATTAACTGGTTTTCAATGCATTCCAATGGGGTTTTTATTTTTGCATGACGACAATTTCGCTGTACAGCGATTTTAATGGAACGCATTATTGTCGCCATGTGGGGCACCACTGTAATAAGTATTCTACACTTTGAACGCCTTGGAAAGGGCCACCATAAGTTGGAATTGACTTGATGGCACATAATTATTATCAAGATAACTGCAGCTTTACAGACTATATTTGCGAACTTGGATGTATGTCCTGCTGTGGGATCATTTCCTGCTTTGCAAGCTCAGATAAATTATAGGAGAACAGAAAGGATAATTCAATCAATAGTGAAAGGGATGAATCTCAAATACGCTGTCCACCTTCGTCAAGTACAATGTATCACACACAGAGATTTCTTTTCAAACCTGTTGAAAAACTGAATGCTGTTCCTCTGTTTCCCTCCTACCTTCTCTTTTTTTCAATGGAGAAAAAAAGCAGGGAGAATATATGGGCTGACTACAAATGGATCGATTGTGGTGTCACCCACATTTTCCATACATTTCTGTGAACAAAGCAGAGCAATTGTAACTCTTTCTCTGGTGCACTATGTATTTATCTCACATTCTTTTGTGAGCATTGACAACAAATATTTCATTATCTATACTAATTTATTTGTGTATCTTTTGTCTTTCATTACTATAAGTGAAATGGATTGGTGGAAGGGAGATGCCAGGTCTATCCACCACTGATCAAAATCCCCAAGCATGAATCTGCAAATTGAGGCAATAAGATGTCAGAAGACTTGTTTTTGTTGGAAGACACTAACACAGTCTCTAGACAAGAACAGCTGGTCTTCCCATTCCTACAGCTGGTTTGATAAGAGAACATTGTGCAAACAAAGAGATTGCTTGGTAGGTGAACCGAGAGGGGGGAAAGCCCACAAGCAAGATATACAGTAAATATAAAGAAATACACAAAGAGACCAGTGTGCCTAAACAAGGAAGAATTTCCTTGGAAATATATTATGTCAAAAAGTGAGATGGGTTGTAAGAGGGTTTCACAACTTCACCTCCATCTTCTGGATGTGAGAAAGAAAAGAGCAGATTGTGAATAGGATACTGCCTGTTTCAACTTTCCATTTTCTGGCCTGTTCTAAATAAATAATTGTGCCACACTTTGAGAAAAGGCTTATAAATACCACCCCCAAAATTTGCTCAAATAACACTGGAAGCAGTCTACAAACATTTTTGAATTTTTTATATGGTGCTTTACATTTACTGAAAATAAATATAGGACACCTACCCCTAGAATTCAAGGTTTTTTATTTGTTTGTATTTTCCAGATAGATGAATAAAACTTGTGCTGTATAATACACATGGGTTTGGGATCTAGATGAACTAGATTACTACCATTCAGATGCTGCATGTCCATGCAATGATACATGGTATAAATGTAATCAGTTAACCTTGTGCAATTATAACAAAATATATTTATCAGGAACCCTTGCCTGCTTCATAGAATCCCAGAATAATTGAATTGGAAGGGATCTATAAGGCCATCGAGTCCAATCCCATGCTCTATGAAGGAATCCAAATCAAAGGAGATCTAACAGATCTTCATTAACTCTTATCTTGCTTTCTCTGAGTTATTTAACATTCTTTCTGTAATCAAATTCTACATATATCTACCCTTCATGAATGACTGGAAGGTGAAGATGGCAAAAATAACTATGATCTGCCTCCACAGAAGTCTGAGAGCACGACCTATTGATGTTACAGGGTAAGCAAGATTTTTTGTTTCTTTAGAGTAAAATGTAAAAACACTGAGTGTTAAGCATGGGTTGAAACAGGTAATCTGAAACTGTGGGTCAATTCACAGGTATGTTACAACATACTTGCACGATAAGGAAATTCTCCCCTCCCATTTCTAGGAGGTGTTTTTCTTTCACTGCCCAAAAATGCACATCATCTCTGGATGTGGCATAGATTCCCTTTCCCAGCAATCTCTTGTGTTCACTGAAAGAGAACAATGTGTGTCAGCATTCTTTCCATCAACATAATTTGTGGATGATGTGACATGATAGAAGTACTCAACATAACCCACATAAGGAAGTAAATTTGAGACAGGCAGGGGTTATTTCATCCCCTCAGTCTTTTTCTGCAAACATGTCTCTCCTGTGAGCAGACTTAGTAAACCTATAGAACCTCCAGGTTTTCTGCCTGCAGACAGTTCATGCTTACTAATATATAGCAACATTTTGGTCTTATGTTTTGTTGCTGCTGCTGTGTACCTTCAAGTTGGAACTGAGATACACTGACCCTAATAGTGCTTTCAAGGTAAGTGAGCTTTACCAGTTTCATATTCCCAGTGAATTTTCATGGGTGAACAGGAATTTGAATCCAGGCCTCCTGATTCCATCACTCTATCCACTATGCCACACTTTTATACTGAAGACTTATCGTGCTTGTGAAATGATGCAGCTAGCTACCATCTCAAGTGCCAGAGGGAAAGTCTATAAATGACAGTATGACATTTACTTCCTAAACCTTTCTAATTTTAGTTTTCTCTAAGGGCTGTACACTGACTCACAGGGATCTTATAAAACAAAGTGATTTGTCAAAAAAAGTTACACACTTCAGTTACAAAATTATTCCTTAAACTGTGGTGCCACGTTTACAGATTTCTCTTCCCAGGGAACATTTGGCACCCATGCTTATGCTTTCTCAGTTCTACACAAACACCTTGTTTAGCCAGACTAATGCCACTATTTTCCTCTTTATTGACCTCTTGAAGTTTTGTTGTTCTTGTTAGTTTGTTGAACCTACCCCTTCCCATAAACTTGGGAGCCCTGAGACCCATCAAGTGGGAGAAGAGCAAACAGTAGTGGCAGAGGATACACATATATTATGAAAAATGAGAACATATGTTCAGTCCAGATATATGTGATCTGTACCAGAACCAAACTTTCACTTTAAAATAAGAATCTGTTCCTGGTCCCCCTTTTCAGCGATATAATGATGGAAGTGGTGGTGGGAGCTTTTTAGTCATTCCTGTTAGAAAACTAGACAGAAATCCTTACTATTTGCTTCAAACTACACACACACACAAATCACAATCTACCTTCTACCTATTCCTGTCATAACATTTTCTTGGCAACATTAAGCAGTACTATAAAGAAGTCCACAAGGAATACAATTTATAAAAATTGAAGAATATATGCCACCCAGCATGCTGGTTAGACTTTCACTCATGAAAGTCAACTTGTGGAGTAAATTAAAGAGAAACCAACCAAATGCATCTTTGCCCTATGGCCTCATGTTTTCTTGTGTAAAGAAGCTTCTATTGGGTCACAATCAAAACAAAAGAGGCCCAACAGGATAGTGAGGAAAGTCTCCTTTTATCAGGTTAACATCTGCTGCACTCGAAAACCTGATAAGCCACAGCCTGTTTTGCAGTTTGTTCAAGGTGATAAAGCAGCATTTGAAGAGAAGGAAAGAACATGCAAAGATGGAGACAGAGCTGAACTACCAAAAAGGAAGCTGAGAGGAATGGTAGATCTGTCAGGACTATGAGGCCACATCAAATGTTCAATAGACAGGCAGTACAGCTTTTACTAGAACGTTAACAATTTTTAACGTCACAGTAGAAGGAGGGACTGACTTGCCGAAATCATACTGTCCTCACAGAATTCTCGGAAAAATGGAACTGAGGGACGGTTAGGCTGGGCGTGCGCAGTAGGGGAAGTCCTAAACATTGTTACTTTTATCTTGTAGCTAGAAAACGTTCCGAGAGGCCCAACGCTGGCGCTGGGATTAACCCTTTGTGTGCATTCACAGAAGACCACGATGAAGAAGTCTCCTTTTATCAGGTTAACATCTGCTGCACTCTAAAACCTGATAAGCCACAGCCTGTTTTGCAGTTTGTTCAAGGTGATAAAGCAGCATTTGAAGAGAAGGAAAGAACATGCAAAGATGGAGACAGAGCTGAACTACCAAAAAGGAAGCTGAGAGGAATGGTAGATCTGTCAGGACTATGAGGCCACATCAAATGTTCAATAGACAGGCAGTACAGCTTTTACTAGAACGTTAACAATTTTTAACGTCACAGTAGAAGGAGGGACTGACTTGCCGAAATCATACTGTCCTCACAGAATTCTGGAGATGGAGGAAGAGAAGGTAAGAAAAATCAAACTAAGAGAGAGAGAGAGAGAGTTTGAGAGTTCTAGTGACACTGAGGCCCAGTCACAAGTTAAAAGCAACTACAGGGCCAGGAACAAGGCAGGCCAGTGGACTGATAAACAGATTAGACATAAAACAAAGGACAAGCATTCTCATCAGAAAGTAAGTTTAGAAGCAGAGAACTGAATCTTTCCACAAAACCTATGGCAGGGGTAGTCAACCTCAGGCTGTCTATATGTATTAGTTTATATCTCCAATAATCCCTGACCAGTGACCATGTTGTCTAGAGTTTATGTGTTTATTATAACCCAAAAGACCTTTAAACACCAAGTTGAATAACTTTATGTTAGGGCTATTTTCATACTATAGGAAAAGATAAGCACGCAGCTTGAACTCTAACTTAATGTCACTGTGGCCTTTAGCAGGCTGCCCAATGTTTCGTTAGCATTCACTTTGTCACATCATATGTCATTGGAAGGATGTAATAGTTATCTCTTAAATGTTTTAAAATAGCCTTTACTATTTACTATTTTACAACAAGAAATGAATGATAAATCCTACCACAACAAAATGGCTAATACTAAAATTTTTGATGTAATGTAAATTATTTATTTGTTAGCACAGAACAGGGAGATCCAAACTTTTGACTATGAAGGCCACATCGGATATTTTCAACATTTTTGAGGGCTGTAGGAACAGGAACATGTGCACACACATACGTGAGGCCACACAAATGCCCACTGCCCACCCCTGCACGCACACACACGTACCCCATGCATGCACACCCTCTCCCCCACCCACCTAGAAGCACCCCTGTCCACCCTCCCCCACGTGCATGGGCTGAAGGGAACAGGCCAGATAAAATGGCAAAGCAGACCAGATGTGGCCCACAGGACACAGTTTGGAGAACCCTTCCCTAGAATAATGATATAAAAGATGCCAAAAAGACACCTTCAAGGATTCCAAGGATGGCATGATTTTAATTTTGTTCTAGAGTAGTGAGATTATCTTTCCTTCTACATCGAAAGGAAATGTTTATAGGGTTATTAAGCCAGCAGGCAAAAAGATTCATTTTCAATTCATTCAGAAGGCAAGCTTTGCTAACAAACAGGTGCCAGTCCCCATTAATGGAGAAGAACTACTTATTTCTCCATGGTCAAAGAATGCAGAGAAACACTTCCCCATAACTCTTCACTTCCTCTCTCCATATTCTAATTGCTGGCCTCTCCTTCCTCTGCATTCTACAAACAAAATAGAGGGCTAAATCCAATGTTAGTCTACCAAGATACGAGCTACTGGGACTTCTTAGTCATGGGTATCATAGATTTAATTGATTCCAATGAATCTACATTAGATTTATCCTAAAGAATGTCAACTGAGTATGCTCTATCAGTTTAGAAAATTTGTTTTGTTATTCAAAATATGAAATTGTGAATTCAATTACATCATTTTAACACACCATCAGATGATACCTTAATGTTACAATATTAAATGGACTCAGTATATCATTTAAGCAGACTGTACAGCTCCCAGCTATGCAATGAAAGGATGCCAACATTTTCCACAGTTGATTTAATAGACTATGAGTATTAGGTGAGGAACTTCAGGAAGTCTTTAAGGAACATTAAGATGATGAGAAACTGTTTTGGAATGGAAGTATTTCAAATGGATGCTATCCGGGAAGACTGAGAACTGCCAAGCTCCTCTCAAACGCATCAATCTCAATTCAAGACTGCACAAACTAGTGTAGCTAAAATGACAAAATGTTAAAGTAAAAGAAACCCATCTTGTTAATTTAAGGATAACATTAATTTAAGGATAATTAATTGCTGATTTAAAGATATCACAACATCTAATCGATCAGTTTATGTTATAATCTCAAAGTTACAACCAGAGTTTTAAAATTGACAGTATTTGCTAAATTGTGTGCAAATGGCACAGAAACAATTAAGATTCACTGGTAAAGCTTCTAGTGATCTGGTACTCAGAAAGATGTCACAAAACATCGTAGATTATGCTTAATATTACAATGAACAAATTATAGTTATTTTTTCCCAAATATGTAGTAGGGCCCATTCATTCCTGGTCTGAGTTAAACTGAATGAATGTTACTATGTTTCCTGTTTTTGCTGTGGAACAAACTATGGAGCAACAGGAAAAAAATACTGTCTATTTATTTATTTATTGATTGATTGATTGATTGATTGATTGATTGATTGATTGATTTATTGCATTTATATGCAGCCCATCTAGACATAGTCTACCATCTGGTGTGCTTGCAGCTACAAGCCTAACTTCAGTGACACAGAGTTTCAGCTAATCCAGAAGTTCTGGGAGCATATGCTACCAGTACTGCAGCTAGATCAGTGGCTAGTAAATCTGGATCTGCTGATCTGGATCTTTAAGGCTCTGTATAGCCCATATCAGAAGTCTTTCCCAGAAGATTACTTGTCACATTTCCCACTCATTTATTTAGTCTCAGAAAACAATATACTTAAAAATCTCTCATTCTACAAAACTGGGACTATGAGCTGGCTTGGAGAAAGTACCACAGGGCTACTTCAGTTTCAAAAATTGGGACAGGCACTTAGAATGAATGTGCTATAAAAGATAACAAGGAGACAATGGTGAAGGTAAGGAGTAAGGGGGAAACCTGAGCATGTAAGGAGAGAGGGGGATGGTGTGTAAAATCCCAATGATTATTTACAAGGTGCTGCCTGAGATATATGAAATTGTTACAGCTGCATGAAGGTCTGTGTCTAGATTATTCCCAAAGTACTTTAACATTTGAGTTAAAAATGAAAGTTTGAATTATTATATCTCACCGGTATCTCTCTTCCTGTAGAGCTTGCATGATCAAGGAATAATCCCTCTGATAGTGAATCTTGAGGTTCTCAAAGGATTCCTCTAGTCGTCCTTGAATTTCTCTGATCTCTTGAATCTCGTGAAGTATTGCATCAAAACCTGAGCTCTGCATTTCCAGAGTGTTTGTTTTGGAGCTTGGTGCTCCCACAAGCAACCCTGTAGTACTATTGGCCCCCACAGAGCCAGATGTAGCACTGGAACAATCTTCCTCACTGCCATATTTTGGGCTTGACTGAAAGTTATGAACACCTAATCCCTTTCCCACAGTCCCATCTTCTTGGCCTTCTTCCAAGGAGTCCTTCAAATTAGCAATATTGTCTGCACTCCCAAATTTATTCCTGATGAGTGAAGCTATCTCCCGGGGTTTGGAAACAACAGCCCCTGCTGCTGAATGGGTTGCCTGGGAGAAGCTGGAAAGTCCACCTTTAACACTATCTACTACTCCTTCACTAAAGCCAGTGACCTTTGCCCCCACATCCTTCAGTCCCTGGTGCATATCCCTCAAGACATCTTTGGGCTGCCGAGGGATACCATTCTGCTCAATCTCTCGGAGCTTTCGATGGTAATGCTCTAGCTTCTTCTGCAACTGGAGGATTGTTTGTGCTGACTTCTGGTTTTTCTTCTCAAACACTTGTTTGATGCGGGCACTCTGTTGTTTGTCAGCATTATTTGCTAGTTTCAGGTATTCTGCCACATTGTCATCCCGAGCTGTTTGCTCTATTTTTATTTGTTCAGTTAGCTTCAGGATCTTCTGCTGCAGGTGCGTGATGGCCACTTTCGTGCGCTGGGGATCTGGTGTTCCATCAACAGAGTCAGCATTGATGCTGCAGTCTGTGCTTGAGGCCACTGCGCTAGATGTTTGTGCTAGGCTGCTTACATCTAACCGCTCAATCTGGAGGACAAAAGGAAAAAGAAAACATTAAAGACTGTTTTGGTAATAGCAACTCCTACAGAAAATGCAAACCAATTTGGTTCTCTTAAGAAGTGCAAAATATTTTTTTATAAATTAACAGTGTGATGATGAGTATTTTAACCTTGTTTGTCTGTTATTTATTTATTTAAACTATTTATTTATTTAACTTATATGCTACCCCCACTACCCAAAAGTCTCTGGGCAGCTTACAACAATTTAAATTCAATAAAAATATAAAAACAATTAAAATACGATTAAAAATATAATGCTCTAAAAACTGCCATCAGGACCCACAGTTGATATTATTTGGGTAGTGTGGGCAGCATATAAGTTAAATAAAATAAATAAACTTTCATCCACTATTCAAATTACACCTATTATTATGTAGGAAATGACAACATACTTCTGATAGTATCCTATTTCAAATAGGTAGCAGAGCAGTTTGTGTGTATAAAATGAACCTTGACAGCCTATATGGAGCCAGAATTCATCTTAAAATGTACAGGTATGTTCTTATTTCTCTTCTATGTGCCCCTATTCTGACAGCACAGACCACTAATATTCACGGAACTGTTAAGCCCTTTAGCATAATGTCCCTGGAACATTATGTTTGGAATGAAACCCTTCAAACAAGTGATTTGATTATGTACAGAACTCTTAAAACAGATAAGGCACAATCACATAAAAATTAACATTTAACTTTCTTGATACATTAGTTGTTCTTAAGTAGCAAGCATTTTAAATACTTAATATAAATTAAAGCTTTCCAATCCATGTTCCTGTAAGCAAATAAAGTATTCACTATTCTTTAGCCTACCTTAGCTTTTCTGAGGCGCAACAGCTGCTCCCAATGCATGACCTGAACAAAGCAGCATGCCTACAACAGCCTTGGCAAAAGCTAATCTGCACACACTGCCTCAGTACTGTGAAATCTAGTCTCAAGAAAGCCAGCTCAAGACAGAAACCAATGAATCATTTTAATTACTCAACAGCTCCTCCCCAACAGGAAGCATATCAGGTTTCCTTCTAATAAGAATATGTAAAATCAGAGTATGACATCATTAAGCAGCCTGGACTTTATGATGTTCTAAGCTCTCTTTTAAAAAAAGGAGAGGGAAAAAGTCATCCAAAGAGTACAGAGGAAGCTGTAAAGACTTGCTAGCAGATGAATCAAGAATCTGGTAACAATGAAAATAATCCATGGAGCAAAGGCAAGTAAGTTGGTCTCGTAAGAATCTGGTAACAATGAAAATAATCCATGCAATGGCAAAGGCAAGTAAGTTGGTCTTGTATAGTAGTAGTAAGACATTCAACTGGAAGTTGAGAGGTTCAGGTACAAATCCTCACTGAGCTATGAAATTCACTGGGTAAATGCAGACCAATGACCACTGAACACTGCAGATTTGTGGAATCGGGCAAAATCTGTATGCCCACATCTTCTGCTGTAGACGTCTGTAGATGTTCAGGAATGCTATGTTTTCTCTGCAACCATATGGACAGCCAACTATGTTCTATCAGTTCACATGTACAGCAACACAGAGAAAAGGGGACATAAAACTTTGGATGTGTAATCAAGCTTTACACATTTTATTACCTCAAATGGAAATCTCACAAATCTAATGATTCTATACAAGCTGGGAGTCTGGAATCAACATAAACTTACCTAAATATGGGAACAATGCACACGAATAAATTTAGACCAGGCAATACCAGGAGCATCAGAGGTGACAACAGTGGCCATTTGACCTGCAGTTTGTGTTAGATTTGGCACAGATAAAAACTGAATCAAAAACCAGTGACTACAGAACATAAACTAAGCATGGGGAAACCTACTATTTTTCTGTGGAGAATATTTTTTTGTTCAGTTGGCAGGAAGTGGTTTATTTTGCTCTGATTCACTGGCTTTGTTTTCCTCTGCTTTGTACCCTGTGTGATTGCCTGATCTGATGGAAAGGGATGGTTGTGGGGTTGTCAGTTCCCCTCAACCAAATGCCTCTTGTGTTCAAAGTGTTTCTTTTACTTTACAGTGGTGCCTCGCTTAGTGATCGCTCCGTTGAGTGATAAAATCACTTAGCAATGGGGTTTTGGCCATCACCAGAGCGATCACTTAGCGATGGCCCCTATGGGGAAAAATCGCTTTGTGATGATCGCGGGGAAGCGATCATCGCAAAGCCCCCATTTTCGGCCAGCTGATCGGCGGTTCCAAAACGGCCACCCGCTGTTTTGCCTCACTTAGAGGCACTGAACATGGCCGCCCCTATGGAGGATCTTCGCATAAGGTCAGTTTCTAAGCCCATAGGAATGCATTAAACACGTTTTTATGCGTTTCTATGGGCTTTTATATTCCGTTTAGCAATGAAATCGCTTAGCAACGTTTTTCCTGGAATGGATTAACATCGCTAAGGGCACCACTGTATAATGGTTTCCAAAGCTAGCACTGCATCAGATTACCACCATGTCACTTGGAGGGAGGGGTAGTCCAGGAGGAAATTGTTTTTCGCTTCTATTCCTGCAGTGTGATAATAGTTTGTATTTGCCTGGATGATATAGCAATTTCACTCATGGAAACCAGCAGGGCCCAATTAGAAAAAAATTCAGATCAACTTGGTTTCCCCTGCCATGTAAGCTACACCTTAGTAAGTCCAATAAAAGCCAGCTGGTTCCCTTGCCTGATATAAATATGAGCAAATCTCAGTTCCTCAAAAGATGAGCATATGTAGACATTGCCCAAGACATTACTGCAAATATCAAGTGAATGCAAGAATTGGGTTTTATTTGCTATCAAGTGAATGCAAGAATTGGGTTTTATTTGCTTTCAACATGCAGTCTACTTCAGTCTATCAATTACCTTGAAATCACTTGGTTCTGGATTGTATAAAAATCAGACTACATGATATTTAGTCTCTCTTATTCCGTAGCTTAAAATACTGCACATGCAGATTGCAGAGTGAGAAGCTCATATTTTCTAATCTTCCACTGAAAAACACATACTGTATATCTTTTTCTAAGTAACAGTAACTTCAACAGACACATTCAAAATAAAGCCAGTCATGAACATATACATATTGGCAAGATTTTTAGGAGAAGGCGAAGTCAGGACAACTAGACACCAATGACACACTCCTATTGCCACAGCTGCCACTTATCAGATTACTATGTTGGCTCCAGCAGTCCCCACAACTGTCCTAGAAAGATCTACCCCATCAACAGGCACATTTGCTGATCATTAAAGCTCATACTAGGCAGTCTGATCTGCTAAACAAATATTTATAATCAGGCCTGAAACGATGTAAAAGTAAATTTACATTTTTCATGATCAGACAACAGCATTTTAAACCACCAAACAATAAAGGGCCCACAGAATGTATAAAGCATGAATCCCAATTGCTCTGCAATAGCATCCTTTTTCATGTTATGGCAATCAATACACTGGGTTGCTTGAGAATAGTCATGTCTCTTTAATAGACATGGGAGTATTCATATTTGTATATCTCCCCCATAGGTGGAAATAACGTGGGTCCAGCCCCATGTGCCTGGAATGTCCACTCACCATTCTGCCACTGGCGTGAGCTTGACAGAGCCTTCCTATCACGCCGTTGTCCACAATGGATTAGCCACTCTGCGACCTGGCAGAGAGGCTTGTCATCCCGCCTCCTGCCAGGAGTGGCTAATCTATTACAGCCAACGGCATGATAAGAAGGCTTCGAGGTGGGGGAACCCTAATTATTTCCACCTGTGGGGGGATATTTGTATTCATACACGAATACTCCCATCTCTACTCTTTATTCTTTTTTTAAATTATCAGCCTGCATACCCTGACTGAATGCTACAGGAAACATTTCTGTTGATGCATAGCTCCTATCAGGAACTTTTTCCTAATGGTTACCTGAAATCTTTTTTCTCGTAAATTGAATCTACTCGTTAAGGATCTACCATTTGGAGTACAAGATAGCAAACTTGCTCCATCTTCTGTGTGAGTCTTTCAAATACAAGGAAGATTGCTATCATATCACCTCTCAATCTTCCTTCTCCAGGCTAAAAACATTTCCAGTTCTGTGTATCATAGGGGTAAGTTTCCAGACTCTTGACCACCTTTACTGTTCTGCTCTGCATTCATTTCAACTTATTAATTTCCTACTTACACTGCAGTATACAAAATTAGCATAGGACCAAAGCAGAAAAGAGAGGTGTGCTGCTACTTCTCTTGATCTGGATCCAGTACTTCAGTTATCAAGCCAAGAAATACATTTCTATCATTTTTTTTCTTTTTCTCCTTTTTAAACTTATTGCATTACACTGTTGAATCATGTTTAGCTGTGGTCTACTATGGTATCGAGATCCTTTCATATGTTCTGGTGTCAAATCAGCTATCACCCAACCTATATTTCTCTACCTGATTTTTTTCAGTCAAAATATAGAATCTGACATTTACGTTTGCTGCAGTTCAGTTTGCTTGTTTTTACCCATTTCTCCTAAATTCTGATCCTGTCTTCTGAGAACTTAGCTACCCCTTCTAGTTTGGTATCATGCAAATGTCTTGAATATCCCCTCTACTCCATCCAAATTATGTATTACACACTACACAAGACTGAGTTGAAGTAAGAATCCTACAGCACCTTACTTGTCACTATGGAACATGAGGAACTAGTGATGACCAGTCTTTGTGTCTGGATCATCAACCAGCTACAAATCCACTTCCTTTCTTTAGTATAATACCCTTTTAAAACCATAGCTGGTCCTTATACAGTCCGTAATACAAACTGTGTCCATAAGCTATGTTGTATTACCAGACTGTAGGTATTTAGACCTTCTTTCTAAGATATATTTAGTTAAAGATTACTGTTTGTCCACTGTTTTAAAAGACACAAATCCCAAACCCTAAGAACATAGTATGATTCATAATAAATAGAGTGACAAATGCATATGTCCTTATTTTGCACAGAGTTGACAGAAAGCACTAAGCAGTTGATTGGTTACATCTGGTCCTGAAATTACTCCTGACAGAACTAAGACAATGATTCTTCTACACTACCTAGATTATTAGTCAGCTTCTCAGTGGCAAATAGTGATGAAGTATATATTTAGGTTTACAACTTCTCTCACCTGACATCACCCTCTGAATATGCGTACATGGTTTACTTGGCATGCTGCCATGTCTATCGTTATTTGATATGGATTAATCTAGATAGAAAACTGGTTGTTCTATGAAGAGAAAGTCTATTGAAAATTGTACAGATACTATTAAAAGTATCTGCAAACTAAAGCTCACAAAAACTCATGGTAATAAAAATTTCTTATATGACAGGACTCTTAGGTGTAATGACATATGTTGGTCAAGGGTACATGAACACAGAAGTAAGAAAGGGTTTAGAACAGAAAATATGTAGTCTGATGATGTTTGTATCAGTTTGTTACCAAACTGGTCAGGTTTGTATGACATGCCAAGAGTCTAATTGTTACCAAGACATATGTACACCACAGGCTGTTTTAACTGGAAAAATCTGTCAGGCCAAAGACAAATATAGGTTAAAAACAGTGATTGTGAGTCTCAAATTTGAGCCTCTGGTCTCAAATAAGTCAAGCCCCAAGAGGAAATGACAGGAATATAGATCTAAACAACCCCTATTAAAATTACATAGAAGATGTGAATGCTCCAGCCAAAGAATAATTTCAGAGGATAGCCATCATATAGAAAGGCCATATAATGTCCTTTTTTTCCTTTGCTACTGCAAGAGTTGTCTGGTGATCAGGGAGAGCAAACATCCTAGATGTTCTGCATTTTCCTACATAGGCTGACCACCTTTTTTCTATTTAGTCAAGGGCCTCATTCTATTTCCATTGTTGCTGGATTATCCTGATGGCAAGAGTATAACCAAAACAGAACAGGTTAA